GCTTTTTGTTACAGATTATTTTTCTTGTGCTTTTCCAGTGATTTCATTCTAGCAATGTCTAAAGCTCAACAAATATATATGTTCTGAAGGCATAGTATTGTAGGGTTTTGGAGGGACCTCACTTGGGTAGGGAATAGTACCTAGTCCAGTATAGGGCAGTTTTCTAAGTTATAAAGCTGAGCCAATAAGTTGCTTCCTAATTAAGTTCACCCCATTGGTCCCAGGAATTATCTTTGGGGAATAAAAAGAAGACTTTCTGTCTTCCTCCCAAATGGCCTTGCAGATTCCCAGATACAGTGTTCAGGCCTGTCCTCACTTAGTTCCCCTCTTCCAGCACCTTTGTGCATCCCACATGGTCAGTGGCCTGGGGCTGGGGAAGGCAGCATCCAGGGCTTTCTATGAACTTGAGGACACAGAGAACTGAAGTGAAGGAGCATTTCATTGTTTGCCTTGCAGCAATGAACCTTGTAGAAAGCAAAGAGTTTATGTGAAGACATGCAGGGTTCACGTAAAGGTTCAACAGTTCATCCACAATGAAATTGCACACTGCCTTAAAAGAAAGCCATCTTGCCGAAGTTCGAAGGCATAAGCTATTCCTAAAATGGCACCGAACTTGTATACTGGAACTTTCATCTGGCAGCCACAGTGATAGAAATGAATGGGATGCTGGAAACTATGAACATTCACTCAGAAAGAAACTTTATTTTTATCATTTTTATTGTTGTATATTTTCTTTCCTATTTTTCCTTTCTTGTGAATTTATTTTGAATGTTCATGAAATGAGCTCCCACTAGGTGTCCAGGTGAAAAATCCTTTTGAGTAGTATTAAAAAGCTAGATATCCATCTTTCCCAAAATATAGTCTACAACTCATCGTGGGACCTGGTCCTTGGGGACACTGACCTTTTAGATAAAATGAATTCACATTGAAAAAATGTCAGACATACTTTCCTAGGAAAACAAAGGAAGGCACTTGAACCTTCCTGCCCCAGCTAATCACCTCCAAGTTTAACAAAAATACTTTATAATATGGTTATGAGAGATTTAGACAACTCTCCTTTAGATGGATTCTGATCTAGGGAAAACCTGCACTATGGTGGAAAATAGGGAAGTGTCCTTATTCCCAGGAACTTTAGGAATTTTTGAGACTTGTGGTTACTAATTAACCAGTGGTAAAAGAGCTAATTTGAAACTCCTCTGCCCAAGAAATAGCAATTTCACCAAGAGGTAAGTGGTAGGTAGGGGAGGGCAGGGCAGGATGTTCTTAATGCCAAGGATGAAGAGCTATTGGGAAGGGTGGGCTGAGGGGACAGGGGGGAGCAAGCACGTGGACACTAGCTAAAGCTCAGCAGTGTTTGAAGGAAAGGGCATCTGGAATTCCTAGGGATTTTGTGGCAGTGGTGTAAAGCAGAAAGTGGCAGCAACAGCTTATATCTGACATGGGTGCTGGGCCAGACAGGAGCTGGGTATACAGAAAAGTGGTCACCATTCATTTCTTTTTAAAAAATGTTTCTTATGGTCTTTCCATTGACAAGTTTTGTTTCTTTTAAATTTCTTCTTCTTTCTTAATATATTTGTGTTTTATTATATTAATTTCAGCTTTTACCTTTGTTTCACACATCTATGTTTCTTAAATTTTATTGAACACACGGCAGATGCTTTCTAAAATTGACTACTGTTTCCATTAGTAATTTTTTTTCTAAAGTGAGTTCTTTCTCTGCATTTTGAGTGCTGTGTTCTCCTCTGTCATTATTACCAAAACTTTTCATAGATATTTTTTCTTTGTTTAGTTGTCCTTGAATAAAGAAAGGTGAATGTCAGGTGGATGTTTTTCCATAAACAGTGGGTGGGTTGTCCTAGGTTCCCTTCATTGTCTTCCAGGATGTTGGTGGAATCTTCTGCTCATCTTATAAGCTAGAAAGATGGAGGCAGGTGTAAATTTCTGGTACTTCTCATGCATCCTGAAGGCAATTTATCCTGTGTCATTTCTTCTCTGGGTTTGTTGAGGCCCTTGTCTAGGGCTTTGCCTTCTGTTTACAGCTTTCTGTTGTTGGGTTAGACCTTCACAGTGAATACATAAATGTGACTGCCTAGTGTCCGCCTGGCACTCCTGGTGACTACATCAGGGAGAAGCCCCCATACTGCTATTTTCTGCTAATTATGGCATAAAGACTGGGACTTTCTGTTGGAGCTGACTTTCAGTGCTGCTGATCTGGCCTGGGGTCTGGGCCCCCTGACTGTTAAGAGGATATGAGGCCTTCTGATGACTTGATTCCCTCAATCCTGTCCTTTTACAGGAGTAGGAATTGTTAACCATAGTAGGTATAAATCCATAGTTCATATAACATTCTTAATAATTTCAACTTTATTTTGGCTGACTATCATTAGTTTTTAGTTTATACAAGTGACATAGGAGGTATTTATACTAGAAATAGGAGCTTGTCTTGGAAAAGAAGTGTCAACTCATTTTCATGTTTAGTTTCCTTGTATTATTAGCATTATATTTCATCTGCACTTCTTTCAGGAATCTGTTTAAACTATGTGTCCATGTTGTAAAAGTTGGCTTAGTTAAATCAAGGTCATGAATCTACAGTGCATTCAACTGGAGATTCATGAATCCACCCCCTTGGAAGACAACTGTCCTACAGAATGCCTTAAATTTTCCTTGTTTTGTTTTCTGGAAAACTTATGAACGATAAATTTTGAACTTATTAACACCTGAGGATATCTTTATTGACTTCATATATACATGTAACTCTACTAGATGAAATATAAATAATTTGTAATTTGAATTACACCAAATTATTCTCAAAAACTAGTACTGTTATTAAATTGTTTTCTTTTGTTTAGCACGGTAGAAGTCTATGGCTGGCTGTTGTTGCTTTATAAGTAAGACGTTTTACTTTCTCAAAGATTTTCAAGTTTTTATTCTTTGAAATCAAAAATTCCAACAGAATATGTTGGATATGTTCTTTTCATTTTTCTTTCCTGGTTTTATCTGACCCTTTTTCATCTGCTTATGTAAGTTTTAGTTTAGCCTAGGAAAATTTATTTGATTAAAGCTGCTTCTGCTGTTTATTTCTCATGGAAGCCCTATTGTAAGTAGATAGAATCTCCTGGTTCTTACTCTTATTAATCTATTTTCCCTCATAATTTTTTCTGTTTGTCCTTTCTTCTTAAGTTTTGAGAATTGAAATGGGTCCAATCAGAGATTCATATCAATTCCTGTAGGATCTTTAAGCCCCAAATGAAGGGAGAAAAATTTTTTAAAAGTTTAAATCTACTCCGTTTGTACTTTGCCAGTTGTGAGTCCAAACAGCCTAGGGGGCAGCTGGGCTCCTTGAGGTGAGAGTCAGAACTGGACGCAGATTTAGCCAGGAATGTGTTTTGCTAAAGAGCTTCCAGTCCTTATTTGGAACAGCAGTCAGGGCTCGCTGCTGCAGTCTCCCCATTTTCTGGCAGGCTGGCCATCCATTCCACTCTGTGTGAGTGATTGGCAAGGCCCTTCCACACCAGCTGCCTGTCCCATGCTGCCTCTGAAATTCAGGACACTCCTAGTGCTGCTAATGGACCCACAAGGCTGACCCTCACCTCCAAGCCTTCAGAGGCCTCTGCTGATTTCTTTTGCATATTTCCATTTTGCATGCTGGAGATTCACAAGTCAGGCAGAGACTACCCTCGGTCTGATCTCATCTGTATTTTTCATCATCGAAATTCCTGGAAATTTCTTTTGTATAGTTGACCCTCTTTCCTACTTTTTAAGGTTGATTTAGGATTTTTTTCTCATTCTCTATTTTTGGTCATTTCCATGAAGATCAGGAGGGAAGTAGTTTATGTCTTGCCAAGAAGTCAAACTATTCTCTCCTATGAATGCAAGTCTGAGGATATGTTGAAGTCAGACTGAGAAGAGATTGCATAAACCTGTGGGAAATGGAGGCTTAACAAGGATCTTAAATATCCTGCTACAATTTTTCTCTTTTGGTTGCCTGTGATGATCAAGGCCGTTGAATAACAACAATGACAATAATTATAACAATTGCCTTTTTCAAGAACAACCATGAGTCACATACTCTATATCAGTTTCATTTAATCTTATATTAGCCTGGGAAGTTTGGTGGTTGACTCTCCATTTTATAGATAGCACTCACAGAAGTTAAATAAACACCTGGTGTTGCATAGCTAATGCATCTGAAGTGGATTCAAACTCAAGTTTGTCCTCAAAGTCTCTACTCTTTTCTTTGCTGGGTATCAAATAGTCTGAGTAGTTGTCCAATCTCCAAATCTCTTGTCAGCTTTACAGAGTTCCCAGTTACCGCACTTTGATCATCTGTAGGCATCTCATTGCTGCAGGTCCTTCTCTGTGCAGATAATGTTTCCATAAATAGAGAAAGACATGTTTTATTGTTTCTCTTGTACTGTCTGGAACACCTCAGTTTATCATTCATCCTCATTTTTTCTAACTAGGGGATTTATCTGCTCTTAGAGGGATTCTTCCTGTTCAGTAATTCCTTCTGTAGCCCTTTGTGGTTATGTAGGTTGTCTAAGTGTTCTCACCTGCCTTGGAATACCCATGGCCCATGGGGCTGCTGTTCTCTCTGACCTCTGCTGAAAAATGTGTCTTCGTCAGAGCAGAATCTCAAGAGGTGTTTGGAAATGTTGCTGCTGGTCGTGCTTTACTATATCCAATTAGAACAAAAAAGATAAAAATCTGAGCAAAAGCAAAATCATTGATAATTTAGGAATTCAGAAAGATAAAAGGTAACTAGAAAGTGTTGGGAGTAGCCAGTTGTTGGTTGATGAGAAGATTTTTGTTCTTGCCTCACAATGGCAAAGGTGTATAGATTTATTTTATAACTTACACTTTTGACCTCATAATTATATTCCTTTCAGATATATTGGAAAAAATAAGAACACCCAAGGACTGTAAAATGTGTCATCATAATTGTAGGATTATTATTTGTTTCCTCTGTTCTAATGAAATCATGCTTTTTTCCCCCATAGGTTACGGTCTTTGGTCAAACAATTAGAGAGAGGGGAGGCTTCAGTGGTAGATCTTAAGAAGAATTTGGAATATGCAGCCACAGTTCTTGAATCTGTATACATCGATGAAACCAGGTAAGCTAAAAATGACAAGAGAGATTGTCATTTTTATGGTGATGGTAAATTTTCTGTTAAGTGGCTTTTTTTTGAAATTGACTCCTATGGCAGATTTGGGGAAGCATTCAAATTACTGGTCTTGGAGCTTTAGTTTGAACAAACAAATGAGGTAGATCTGGACAAGTCATTTATTCTCTGTACCTCCTCATCCGTAAAAGGAGTTAATAGATCTTATCTCACATGGCCATTATGACAATGAAGTGAGATCATGTAAGAAGAGAAAAAATAATTTTAGAAAACCTGGCAAGTTTTTTTAAATCCAATATAGGCTTCCACTGTAATTATTGCATATTAAGTCAATTTAAAAACCATGTTTTTTTAATTCACAATATCCATCAGTAAATGGAAGCTCCTGAAGTGACTGAGAAGCATTTTTTCTCTTAAGCACCTAGTATTCCTTTTTTAATTACACATTACCGATTTTCTTAGCAGATTCTTTCCACTTGAATTATACAAAAGTATTAAAGTTGCTTATTTTTAGTAGGGCTTAATACAATAGGTTTTATTATAACATTACTATTTATGTGCTTTTCTAGTGGTCTGACCTATGAGTAAATTTAAAAAATCAGCTGAGCACACCTGTCAGATGACTTAAATCATTGTGCTCAAATAAAGAACTACACTATTTTGGAAATTTTCCTTGAATTTAGTCGTTTAAGTTTCTCTAACTGTCTGCCAAACTAGAAAGAATGTAAATTGACATCATCTAGGATCCTTAGTTCAGAGGGCTAGATTACTGTGATTTGGGTAATACATTTCAAAATCTTTGTGTCCTTTTTTTTAAAAAAAAAATAATAATGCCACATAGTCCATCTATGAAATAATGTGAATGCATTTTCAAGTGGAAGGTTTAAATCCCACTCAAATTCCACAAATCTTCTAGGAATAAAGATACTAGGTACTCATGAGTGCAATGAACCTGCAGTGAATCCATGGAGCCTGAGATGGAGTATATTTGACTCCTCTGCTCCCTCAGTTTCTTTGTCCAGTTAGGTAGAGAGAGCATCCTGAAATACCACTATTGGACAAGGTCATCCTGAAACACAAATGATGAGCTCTCACAGGTCTGTATTTTTTTATGGTCATTTCAATTTGGTTTCTTTGCACTTATATAAGCAGGTGGGCTGGAAAGGAGCAGCTCTTTTGAGCAGAGCTCTAACTTCAGATTTAATCCCAGTGTTCTCGTTTTGTGTTTTGTGTTTAGGCGACTCCTGGATACGGAGGATGAACTCAGTGACATTCAGTCAGATGCTGTGCCCTCAGAGGTCCGAGACTGGCTGGCGTCCACCTTCACGCGGCAGATGGGGATGATACTCAGGAGGAGCGAGGAGAAGCCCAGGTTCAAGAGCATCGTCCACGCAGTGCAGGCTGGGATATTCGTGGAGAGGTAAAGATGTCCTTCCTTGTCATTCAATAACCAAAACAACGAAAGGAACACCAGTTTCCAATAACTGGAAGCTTTGCCTCGATGCAGTTTTGATATCTTTATAAATACTGAAAATTCTGGGTGGAAACAGATAGTCTTGAATGAGAAACAGCAAAAACATATCTATTTTAATCTCTATAGCATCATTAGGACAAGCTTCTGCCTTTGCTCAAAATTCTCTTTGTTAACCAGAGAAGAGTCTCCAATTTTTAAAGAAGGCAATCACCTAATCCATCATCCTTTGAAATACGTGGGTGGTGTCTACATTCAGAACAGGCCAGGGATGTTTTGAAGTTGCTGACCCAGGGAGGACTGTTTACTTCAGGGATTTGAGTTCCCTGTGAACCTTCAATTTTGTTAGCTATTTTGCCCTTTGAAATTGAATTGCCCCCTTTGCCCAGAAATAGATTCCTGAATAGATTTTTTTTTCTCTATAATCCTTGTTACACAATTCCACATTTTAGAAATGCCATGGTGAGTTCAAAGTTCACCTGGGACATTTTTCTTTCTTGTTTTTGACAGTTCCAAAGAACAAGCTCTTCCAAATGGGTTGCCCATGGGAGTTCTTCATTCAGGTTAAAGTACTACACTGCATATTATCTATGCTCTACTATAATTCACTCTGGCAGAAGAGGTGACCCATTTTAATAATTTAATTTCCAATCTGGGGCAGTTATCTTTGTTTCTAATGGTTCACCTGTTTGGGGTGGCTTTAATTTCTTTTGATTTTAATACTTAGGCCATTTGAGTAATGGTAAAAAATGTTACAAAAGGAATTTTAGGTTCCTTGGGTCAACAGACAACATGACTTCTCATTATGTGTTGATACTTGCTGTAAGTCTGTAGGCTGCTAATCCGTCTTTGTCAGATATCATATTGCATTTTTTCCTTCTGACTTTGCCAGAATGTATAGACGGACATCAAACATGGTTGGACTGAGCTACCCACCAGCTGTTATTGAAGCATTAAAGGTAATACCAATGAAAAGGATTTACAATGTCCATGGTACCTCATAAAAACTGTAGCTACATTTGGTGTTAGAAAATAAGAGGCTTTCATTTACAGTTCTTTTCTCAGTTATTCCTGACTTTATTCTTTTATTATCTTTTTCTTAGTCTGTTCTAAAAATATCACTATCTTCTCAGCCTTCATCTTTCTAATTTTTTAAAAATCAAACTCTGCAAGGGTTTCATTTCTTTCTATTCCCCAAGAATAGTTCAGAGTTTATACGGTGGTCTGGCATTATGAGATTGGTCTGACTTTGGCCATAGCAGATCAGATATGTTATGGTTATAAGTATCCAACATTAGGAGGATCTTTGGTGACTGTAATTGTTCCATTATCTGATTATCTACTCCAAGTCCATTTTTATAAAGAAACTGAGACTCAGTGAGATTTAAAAAAAAAAAGAGTTACTTAGAGACAAAGCTGATATTTGATACCAGTTTCTAGCACATGGTAAGTTCTCAGTAACATTTTATGCCCCAGAGCTCTTGTCCCTCCATATATTCTATTCTTTTCCTAAGACTCTCTTTGAGCCAAGTGTTTCATAAGAAGTCACACAGATGTTTGAGTTTAAATAGGCTAAATCCTGCAGAATTACTTCCAATCGGGCAAGCTCTTAGAATTGTATAGAATATCTCAAAGAGCCCCAAAGCAGATGTAAAAGCAGGTATTGATTCAAAGCCACTGGTGTTAGGGTATTCAGATGTGCTGAATTTGATTTGGCTTTTGGATTCCAAGGTGGGGCTGCACTAGGGCCTAGGACCGCTGGGCTGGGTGACATTGCATTATGTCTACACATGGAGTTGGTCCATTTGCTCAGGGACATTGTAGCATTCTGACCTTTACTAAGACCATTGTTGTCTTTCTCTGATACCTGAAAAATATAACCTTTGTGGTTAATGTAAGAATATGACATAAAATGACATTTAAACAAGAGAATAACCGCCATCAATTTCTAAATTTGAAATATGTTGCATGTTAGGTCGGCGAGACAAACAGAATGTAAGACTCTGAGCCAAACGTTGTCAAGCAAGAGCGTTTACTCCAGCGAACCTGGAGGGGAAACTGAAAGATCAGTGTTCCATCCTCTTACAGACTAGCAGAGACTTTATAGGGTTTGTCTGGAAGGGGTTTGGGCAACTATTGTGAGCACTCAGCATTCTATAATGGCCTTGCAGGTTTTTTTGCTTTGTACAAGATGTCTTTATTGGAATGCACCAGCCTGAGAGAAAGGGAGGAGGTAGGGGGCAGAGTGAGTTGTACCAGATGTTCTGATACATAGCAGCCTTGAGGGAAAGGGAGAGGGTAGGGCGACGGGGTGAGAGAGTAGCAGATGTTCTTATGTTAAGCTGACTGTGAGGCCTAATGTTGCATTTTCTTCTTTTTTCTTTTTTCTCATTCACTATATATAAGCTTCTAACTCGAGGTGTTTTACCTTAGTCTTCTGGGGTTAGCTTATTGGAAATGTAGAAGTGTGCTCTTCTTTAGAGGGGCATCTGTCATTTGACTCGGGCAGCGACACCATGGATAGACTGTACATTTAAGGTGGGAGGAAACGAGGAGGTGCAGGCTGCTTTTGCCTTAGACTAACAGGAATTTCGTGCAGTTTCTCCACGGAGATTGTCCTTGGGCAAAATTTGGTAAAAGAGGAAGAATGATTTAAAGCATTTAAAGGGGAGGCTGTTAAAATGCAGATTCCAGTCCCTACACTGGGGCTCTTAAGAGTTCCCTATCCAAGTTAAATCAGTATTTTTACTGAGCCCCTAAGTGGTTCCGAAGAACATTAAAATTTGAGAATGACAATTTAAGCCTTCCCTACAAGGAGGGGCCAGAGAGGACGCCCTCTCACCGACTCTACTTAATCATCTCTCGTTTCTCTAAGTGCTAACATTCAGAATACATCTTGGCTTTTTACTATGATAGTCCCTTTATTTTCAGTGATAGAGAGCCTTTCTCCTTTTTATTTATTCTGGAGACTAGAATTAAAACTTGTCAGACAAAGTTTTTTCCAACCTACTGAGCTGTCAGTGGCCTTTTCTGCGGACTGAGGATCAGAGGATGGATGTGACTCACAGCAGTGCCAATTATAGTAACCAAAGCAAAGTTGCAGGTCTTGAGTTCATCCAAAATGGCCTTGCTGTCTATAATCTGGGCCCCTGCACGGTGTTTAGGGGATGAGGTCCAGGTCACAGAACATATTCATTGAGTTTACAATGCTATCTGTCGCAGTGAGAGATCACTAGGGGCTGTCAGTGGGGTTGTTACCTGGTTCTGCTACCATGGGGCTTTAGACACATCAGTCTCACTGAGGTTGCCATCTGTAAAGCTGGGCAAAGCAATGGCTATTTCTAGAGTTGTGCAGCTTTGCAAATATCTATAAACACTTCATATTGTGCTCAGTGTTTGTAACTATTTCTTTAGTTATTTTAATGGAGGGGCAATTATTGAAAACTGAAGTGAAGTTACCACTAAGTGTGAATTGAAACAATTCAATTGAAATCCTTTTGGAAAAGTTTGGTTTTGCCTGTGTGCAGTTTGGTTTTCTTGTGCCCTGGCATCCATGAGAGAGACTTTTGATGGCCTTGCAATGAATTTGATAGCTGGGATGGATAGATTATGCTGGGATACAGTGAGGGCTGGGGTGAGGGTCTCTCATGTCAGCAGTTCCTGAAAGCCAGGGTCTCTACCAGGATACTACCTCATGCCTTGACTGTAAGCAGAGTGGTCTCACATGGGTCCTATTGTCAAGCTCAAGTCAGTACACTCTTTTTAACTGCAGAGCGAGACTCCTGATGTGATGAGAAATCAAAGGACTGCTGCTTAAACACACCTTTGTTAATTGTATCCCCAATAGCTGGTTATGATATGTCAAAGGCACATCAGACAACATTTATATATATTTTGGAGTAGCTATTTATGGACGAGAAGGCTTTGGATTTCATGGATTGTGTATACGTTGTGTATTCAGTTTAGTTTTTACTTTTACTTATTTATTTATTTTTTTTAAGTAAAGTGATTTTCAGATTGAGGACTAGATCCCAGACTAGTGACTACAGAAATGGTTGCAGTTTTCCATTCTGTGGAATGGACGCTTTCTCCTTGGTTTCCACTCATCAGTTTAGATTGACACATGATATATTTTTTTGGTATTCTATATCATGCATGTTTCTGAACACTTTTAAATGAGTTAATACTCTCAACTACAGACTGAGAGGAAGTCACTGGGTAGTGTCAAGGGGCTGGAGAGAAGTTAAGTGGAGGGAGACATGGTCAAAGTTTTGGTGAATTCAGCAGCAGTCACTGAAAGGCTGCATGGAAAGAGCCTGAGCTTAGGCATCTGGAGTGTGTGTGTGTGTGTGTGTGTGTGTGTGTGTGTGTGTGTGTGGTTCCACTTGTGTCCCTAAAACTTACTTGTGATGGGTCTTAGGGAAATCAGGCATTTTATCAGTTTTCTCGTCTTTAAAATGTCACCACCTAGAGTTGGTTTCAGGATAAATTACATATTTATCACTAATCAAAATGCCCACCGCACAGGAGGCACTCAATAAATTATGAGTACTGTTATCAGTAATAAGATCACTTAATGTTTTTACAGTTAGATGCTCCACAGGACTGCCAGAATGGAAAAAGTTTGGGAATGGAAAGGGTATTGGAGTCTGGGGCTGTGAAATCCTGGGGGAGGGCTGTAGGCAGACTCACAAGTGGGGACACTGGTAGCTGTGTGAGCCTGTGGGCTAATGGGCTCTTCCTCCCCGCCCCGTCCTGCAGGATGTGGACAAGTGGTCCTTCGATGTCTTTTCCCTCAATGACGCCAGTGGGGATCATGCACTGAAATTCATTTTCTATGAATTACTCACACGCTATGATCTGATCAGCCGTTTTAAGGTCAGTACCCAATTAAAAAGATAAATAAATAAACTGCACACATTTGTTTATCCGCATATGACTTTTGGGTATCTTTCTAATATAGACCGAACACTGCTCTGTGTAGCTCATTAAGCATCGTCTGGACAGCTTCTGCTATGAATTCCTCCATGGTGGGTACTTTTTGTTACACCCTTGCTGGTGGCTCTCACTGGCAAGGGAGAGACTGGAGATGCCCATTTAGATCCCAGCCTTCCTTGAAGTACATCCCCAAGCCTGAAATAGCTGAGCTCCCCCTCGGGTCCTGCCCGCAGATCTCATTTCAGCATGACTGTGTACTATCGACACCACCGTCAGAGGGACAGTAATGGAGACAGAGTGAGCATATGCTGTCTCTGTAACTTTTTTTTCTACCATTTGGCTCATTCAGACAAGTACTCTCACTTATCATCTGTGACACATCATCGGTATTTGCCAGCCATTCATGCTTCGAATTAATTCTTCAACTTCAGTTCTTCAACAATAAACAGCATGAGTCGTTTCCAGTGTTCAGTACCTTTAGCCTTCTAATATTGCAGACTCTCCAGGTTGAGCCAGGTTCTCAAGGGAGCCTGCCTGTTCATCTGCGGACATCTATCATATGGAGCTCCTCAGACGTCTCTCATCAGGTGGATGAGCCTCTGGAAAATGCAGGTCTTTTTCTGTACAACATTTTGATTTCTCTGGACAGCATGATTCTTTATCACTTTCCAAAGGACCACATATTTGGGGATGTATTTCTTACATGACCATAAATCCTTCATGGCAGTGGTCCTTAGGTCCTTAATTTTGCATCAGAAGCCTGTGTGAAAATCCGGTGGATGGTGGAGACCCTTTCCTCGAAACAGAGTTCCTGTGCACGTACACACACCTTTACCTAGCATTTCCATGACTCATAGATCCTCAAAGAACAACCCGAGGAACCTGGGTTCATTAGATTTCCACTCTTAAAAATTATAATGAATTAATCTCTGACCTTTTCATATATTTTTTAAAATCTTCAATGGTATACATGGAAGAATGTGCCCAAGGAAGAACAGGTTGTAGAATCTCAGAAGCACTATAACAGCATTTTTCTTATTTTTTTCTTACTAATGTGCTTGTTAGTCTCTAGGAACACACATCCTGTCCTTTCCTCCCAGCCTTACACTGGATAGTTTACGCTAAACCATGGAATTGATTCAGGAAACTAATACAGGGAATGTTGCCAGGGTGACCTTATTTTTTCACTTTCTGCCACATAGAAAATGAGGCCATGCATATGACATGTATTTCAGGTTAAAAAAAGCAATTAAGTTAGTTGGAAATATTATCCCAAGTTGCCGGTAGTTCCAGGCAAAGGCTTAAATCTTTTCCTCCTTGAGAAACAAATGAACACATATTATGCAGCATATTTTGTTTATTTGTGGGAAAACATAAAATACACAAAAATCTTAAATTATAAAATTATTGCAAAACAGACATAAGCTGCCACCAGTACTGAAGAAAATATTGGCTTCCTGAAAACCATACCCTTTTTAAAAAAGTAGTTGTATGCACTGGACACATGAAATAAAAACCCAAACCAAAATCCAAAACCCGAAACTCAAAACCCAAACCAAAATGTGACAGTCTGTAATATGGGAATAGGAACAGTTTATGTTCTTAGTACTTAGCAATTACTATTGGTGACTTGCAATTTGGAAGGTCTCCTCCCACTGCTGTTGTGTTATAGTGAATGACTCCACAAACCGGTACTATTAGTATTATTTTTATGTTCCTCATGCTACACGGGACACCAAACAATGTTTTAAACAACATCTCTGCCCCCTTGTGATTAGGGTGGGTAGGGTATTTAAGGGTAGATGAGGACAAGGAAATGCAGAAAATTAGCATAATTTTCACCAATAACTCAGTTTTCTTCACCCAAAGTCATTGTTGTACATGTGAATAAATATACATGTCGTGAGATCATTGTTCGTAGTTCCTCAGCGACTCTGAACTGAGAAAAAAAGAACAATTTGCAAGGCAGACTGTTCCTCAACCAGGCACTTCCTTTTAGATTTTCAAATTATCTGATAATTTCTTCAGTGATTCTCATTAGCTATGAAAAGTCCTCTTTTCCCTGCATGATATGTTCTGCCTCCAGAAAGGAACAGTCACGGTGCCTCAGACTTTTGCTTCTTCACTTAAAGCAACTAAGTCACCAGTGAATAACCTTACTGCTTCCTTTCAGATCCCCATTTCTGCACTCGTCTCTTTCGTGGAGGCCCTGGAAGTGGGGTACAGCAAGCACAAAAACCCCTACCACAACCTGCTGCATGCCGCCGACGTGACGCAGACCGTGCACTACCTTCTCTACAAGACAGGAGTAGCGGTGAGTGCGGGCAGGAGCCCTGGGGCTAGACAGAGGCTGTGATGATGATTTTTTTTTCCCTGTGGTGGATTTCCAATTCTGTTGAGGTTGAAATTAGGAGGAGTGCATTGTTTTGTGGACTCCCTATTCCCCAGAGTTATCTAACAATGTGGGGAGTCTCAGTGTTGCCCGTAGCCTGTGAAATTTTCTCCATCCTGGACTTGATGACATGATATCTGATAGTGACTTGCATCCTCACTAGAATATGACTAATTAAAATACAATTACTAGAACTAAATGTGTATTTCTAGATATGCAGAGTGGTGCTATTAACCTCCTGCTAAGGTTAGTAACAATGATGTTCATGCATACTGAATTATACTGAGGATACTTGGCAACCATGTTACACAAAGTCAGACAGCTAGGTCTTTTTCACAGGGACTGTGGTTATTTACATCCTATTTGTGTATATTTGATTTTTTTGAACCTAAGGGTCGTTCTCCACTTCTAACCATTTGAAATTCTTCTTGCTTGTTTCGGCGCATTTTAGTTCTTCAGATGTTTTTGAATCTCTGTTCTATAATCTGTCACATTAACTGACCTGTTCAACATGGTTATCTGTGCCTTGGCCTTCTTTGCCTTAATTTTAAAAGATGTACGTATAGTGACAAAAATGGGTCTCTATGACTTTTTACTTTTTTTTTTTTTTGTTGTTGTTGTTGTTTTATGAAAACGTTTATAAGTTGTTTTATTTTCCCCTCCTTTTTTAAAATTTTAACTTCTCAGTATGCATTGTAGTTGAGTTTTGTGACCCTTTTCCTGTTCCTCTTTCCCCCTCCTTTTTTCCCGTCCTTCCCATCATATCTGTTCACTTGTATAACTTTTTACTTTGAAATCTCCTTCAGAATTGACACCAAGGTAGACATTCTTTGGGTATGGTTATCGATTAGCACATAAACCCAGTGCACATGTGTTATCTTTTCCGCCAGGGCATGATGAAGGACTTGGGCTAATATCTTATTGAATTGAAAATGGAATACAGTGGGAAGAATGTGGGCTTTGGAGCTGGACACAGGGGATGCAGATCCCTGCTTAATTACTTATTAGATTTTGTGAACTGTGATAAATTACTTGAGTCTCTGAGCCATGATTTACTCATTTTTAAAATGGCAAAAAATATTTCACCTTGTAGAAGCCCTCTGACAGAAATAAAAGATCAAAAATATCAAGTACACTGCCTCATAAAAGAAACTGAAGAATTAGGAATTATTACTGTTAAAACATGCAGGATTTCCCCAAAACCTATTATCATTTTTCAGTTTTCCCATATTGTAAAGCTCATTTCTTAAATATATTATTTAAAAAGCTATTTTTTAAATTATGGAAAGACTACAAGGGGATCTATTTAACTTGATAAATGGTTTCTACCAGAAATTTAGAGCAAACGTCATGCTTAATGGTGGTTCCATGAAATCATGGAGCAAAACAAGGATGCCCACATTAATATTGATACTGAGGTTTTTTTCTGGAGGTCCCAGCCAATGCAGTATGATATCTAAAAAAGTTGAAGAAGCATTCTGTGAAATAATGTGATCATCACCTTTAGAAAATCAAGAAAACCAACTACAGATTATTAGATCAATAAGAGATCTCAATGTCTGGATAAAAGAGCTGTCCTATACACTGGAAATTAACAAGTTATAAAAAAATACATTCCCAACAGTTTAAAAAAGTTTATAAATTACCTATAAAACTTCAAAACTGATAAAAAGGAAACTGTAAAACTAAATCAAAAGGCACAAAAATGATATTTAAATAAGTGGAGAGATACACCATGTTTTTAATGTAAAGCCTAAGTACTGTATAGATGTTAATTTTGCTTGAAGTGATCTATAAATGCAAAACAATACCAACAAAAATTACAACAGGATTTAATTTGAAACATGATAATCTGAGTCTGAAATTTATATAAAATAGGTAATTCACAACCTTAGAAAAGACAATTTTGAAAAAAAAATGTGTGTGGAAGGGTAGTTCTTACTCTACTAAATATTAAAATATCTACTAAAGCTATAGTAATAAAAACATATAATGTTTGTGAAAAAATAGACTATTACATCAATGGAATTGATTAGAGTTTTAAAAAATTAACCCAAATATTTATTGAGCACTTATTATGTGCTGGGTAGTTTTTTACAGGATGTTATAGACTGAATGTTTGTCTCCCCCCAAATTCATATGTTGAAATCCTAACCCCCAATGTGATTGTATTAGGAGGTGGGGCCTTTGGAAGGTGACTAGGTCATGAGGGTAAAGCCCTCATGAATGAGATTAGTGCCCTTATAAAAGAGACCTCTAGAGCTCCCCTCCCCCTTATGCCATGTGGGGACACAGTGAGAAGACAGCCAATCTGTGAACCTGGAAGTGAGCCCTCACCAGACACCAAATCTACCAGTGCCTTGATCTTGGACTTCCCCGTCTCTAGAACCATGAGAAATAAATTTCTATTGTTTATAAGTCACCCAACCTATGGTATTTAGTTATCACAGTCCAAACAGACTAAGACACAGGACGAGAATATATCAGTGCTCTCATAGAAATTACACTCTAGTAAGAGATTACAAATAGAAGAGACCAATAAAAAAATAAACAATAAAATATTACAAATACCCTGCAGAAAATAAAGAGGGCACCCACACAGAGAAAGCTGAGTGTTTGATTAGATAGTTAGGAAGGGCCTCTCTCAGAGGTAATATTTAAGCTGAGATAGTTGTGATTTTCAGGTTTAACCGTGATGAGAGCTGAAGAAGAGCACACCAGCAGACTTAGTGCAGTGTCAGTTCAAGGGTCTTTATGAGAGAATGACTTTGCTACACTCAATGAGCAGAAATAAGGCAGCATGATGGGAATAGCTCATATGGGGATAGTGATGGGAGATGAGGTTGGAGAAGACAGGAGCAGACCTGGTTTGGCTTTATGGGCCTGGGTCATAAGTTCCAATTTTACTCTAAGTGCAGTGGGAAGCCACTAAAGGGCTTTAGACAGGGAAGTGATGTGACATGATACAGGTTAGAAAAGGATTACTGTGGGGATGGATTTTGAGGCAGCCTGTTAGAAGAGTGCTACAGAAGCCTAGTGAAGAGAGTTTGGAAGTTTGGACTAGGAAGGACATTGCTGGGATGGAGAGAAGAAAATTCTGTTTCTGAGTTAAAAGGACTGGGTGGTGAAAAGGATTGAGAACAATAAAGTGAGGAATCAAGAGTACATCTCAGATTTTTGGTTTGATAAACAGGGTTGACATGAGAACCTGGTAGCAAACAGATTTTGGGGGAAGAGGAATTATGAGTCTTGGTTTAGACATGTAGAGTTTTAGATCTCTATTAGACATCCATATGGAGATGACAAGCAAGAAGAAAACTACAGAAATCTAGAGTTCTGGGAGAGATCAGGGATGGACATGTAGATTAGGTTGTCATGGGCATATCAATACTATGCAAAGTCGAGGAACCAGATGAGATAATCTAAGGACAGTGTGAACAGAGAAGTAGAAGTGGCTCCTAGGTGAGTCCTGGAGCACTCCAAAGTTTAAGATGAAGGCAAAGTAATGGAGCCAACAGTAGTAACTAAAAAAGAGTGGCCAGTGACACTGGGGTCTAAACCAAGAGAATGTGGGATCTTAGGAGCCAAGAAAGAAAGTGCTTCAAGAAGAGTGTGGTGCACAGTGTGGGGCATGCTGAAGGTTGAGTAAGACAAGGATGGAGAAGGGACCATTGGCTTTGGCAACATGGAAGCTGATGCTGACTTGACATGGGCAATCTCAGGGGTTTGGTGAAAATGGAACACTGACTGGAGTGTAAAGAAGAAAGAATAGCAGGTGAGAACATAAGAGCATATCTACAGACAATAACATTACAGGGAAAATTACCCAGTTCAAAAAATGTTTTGGGGATAGTTATTCATTTTGAAAAAACAGAATGTTTTTGTTCTACTTCAAGTAATTTACCAAAAAAAATTCTGATAAATTAAAGATGTAAACACAAAAATAAAAATTTGATCATACTAGAAGAAAATATGAGAATATGTATATAGCCTTGAAAAAGGAAATTCTTTCTTAAGCCTCAAAACACAAAAGTTTTATAGCAAAATATTGACTAATTTGATTGTAATGAAGTTAAAAATTTCTGTTGGATAAAAAGCATCATAGACAATTTAATGAAGTAACCGTTTGCAGAAAATACAGAGAGAGCATGGATTACGATCCAGATTATTTAAATAAATCAGGAAAATGACACAAATCCAGTAGAAAAATAGTGAAGATTATGAACAGGCAATTAACAGAAGAGATAATATGTGTGATCAATAAAATATGAAAAGACACCCAACTTATTAGTATTCAAAAGTATATAAATTTAAACAAGATACAAGTTTTCATCCATTATAAACATATGGATAAAATGTTGAAAGTTTAATAATATTAACTTTTGGTTAGGATTTAGAGCAGGAGTTTTCAACCCCAGCACTACCAATATTTGGGGCCAGATAATGCTTTGTCGTGGGGGCTGTTCTAAGCATTGTAGGAAAGGGGAGAGCAATTGCCCCAGATTGAAGACCACTGATTTAGAGGATATTATAATCTCATATACTGCTCATGGAAATGTCTGGAAATTGGTATAGTCATTTAAGAAAACAATTTTACAGTAATTACTATAAGGAAAAATATACATACCAATGCTCTAGCACTTCCAAGTGTGCTCAAGGAGGCCTTGTAAAATGAGATTCATTGTAGTAATGTTTGCAATAGTGAAAGATTGCAAAGTATATGACAATCAGTAGAAAATTAAAACTGTGTAATACCATAAAGTAATTAAAATTAATAAAATAGATTTATATGACTGAAATTCAAGATTTATAATTTTTAAAAGTTGTTGAAAAATATGTTCTACATGGTGCATATTGTTAAACATAGCACATCTATATGCACACATATATATATGAAAATACATAGAACATCTAAAAAGATT